GAGTGAGATCGATTGTGAGATCGATCGAGGGAGATCGATCGAGCGAGACCGATACTGAGATCGATAGTGAGACCGATAGTGAGACCGATCGAGTGAGACGTTGGTTCCTCCCCCCCCCGAACCTCCTTATCACCCGAAGGGTGGTCGTATAGGTATCGGAGGTGAGGGGGTGAGATCGAAGTGGAACGGAGAGCCCCCCTACCGGGAAATCGATTTCGGTTTCGTGTTCGTGCGTGCCGTGCGGGCGAGGCGGAGCTGCGTGGGCGGGCGAGAGAAAGTCTCCTGTGGCTGAGGCGCGGCCGGACCAAATGTCTCCCTTCCGGGCGGCCGGGGGCCCGCGGTGTCCCGCCGGTGTCCCGCCGGTGTCCCGTGTGGCTGAAGCGCGGCCGGACCAAATGACTCCCTTCCGGGCGGCCGGGGGCCCGCGGTGTCCCGCCGGTGCCCCGTCGGTGTCCCGATTATGGTGATGATATTGATGATGATGATGATGGTGATGATGATGACGATGTTGATGTTTTGTTTTGATGATCGATAGTGAGATCGGTAGTGATATCGATTGTGAGATCGAACGTGAGATCGAATGTCAGATCGCTTGTGAGATCGATTGTGATACCGAATGTGAGATCGATAATGAGATCGATAGTGAGATCGATTGTGAGACCGAATGGGATATCGATTGTGAGATCGATTGTGATATCGATAGTGAGATCGATAGTGAGACTGAATGTGAGATCGATTGTGGAATTTATTGTGAGATCGAAAGTCAGATCGACTGTGAGATCGATCGATTGAGTTAGTAGTGAGATCACTATCGGTAATGAGATCGATAGTGATTTCGATAGTGAGATCGATGATGAGACCGACTGTGAGATCGATTGTGAGTTCGGTTGTGATATCGATAGTGAGATCGATAGTGAGATCGATAATGAGATCGAAACTGAGTCCGATAGATAGATCGATAGTGAGGCCGAATGCGAGATCAATTGTGATATCGATAGTGAGATCGATAGTGAGACCGAAAGTGAGATCGATAATGAGATCGATAGTGAGTTTGATAGTGAGATCGGTAGTCTGATCGAGTGCGAGATCGATTGTGATATCGATTGTGAGATCAATAGCGAAACCGAATGCGAGTTCGATTGTGGGATCGATTGTGAGATTGATTGTGAGATCGATAGTCCGATCGATTGTGAGATCTATCGATTGAGATCGATTGTGAGATCGGTAGTGAGTTCGATAGTGAGATCGATCGAGTGCGACGTTGGTCCCTCCCCCCCCCTCACCTCCTTATCACCCGAAGGGTGGTCTATGCGGTATATGGGACCAGCGTGGCGGCACGCCTATACGTATGACAAAGAGGTCGGGTTCCGAAGGGGCCCGCTGTTCCGTGGAAGGCTCCCTGGAAGGCTCCCTGCGGCCTGCTCCCTGCGGCCCGAGCCCTGGTGCGTGGAACGGGCCGCGAGTGCGCACTGCTCGGTGTTGGAGGAGGAGGAGGAGGAGAGGAGTAGGAGGAGGAAGTAGGGGAGGAAGGAGGAGGAGGGGAGTGGGTGAGGAGTCAGGGAAGGAGGAGGGGAGCGGGGAAGGGGGGAGTGATAGGAGTGATGGGGAGGAGGGAGGGGGAGGGGTAACAGGAGGAAGAGGAGCACGCACCCCCCTCCCCTGCCCCCCCCCCCTGGCGCCGCCAGGAGCCCAAGGGCCGCCGCGGCCCCGCGGTGCGCGTGAGCCAGCAGCTGGGGCCGAGCGGGCAGCGCGCGGTCTTCCGGTGCCAGGGCGCCGGAGTCGGCGGCCAGAGCCTGTGGAGGTTCCAGCCCGACGAGCGGTGGGGCGCGGGCCCCGCGGGCGTCTGGGCGCGCTACGGCGAGCCCGTCGCGGAGGTGCTCCGGAAGGTCTTCCTGCCGGTGGACTACCCAGCTTCCGTGGCGGCCCGCTACGAGGTCTTTGCCGTGCACATGAATTTGAACATCACTGTCAGCGCGATCACGCGCGTGCTGGCTACCCAGGCCATGCTGCTTGCTGTCGGCGTCGGCTCGAAGAGCGCGCTGCCTCTGGCCGCGGTGACCAGCTGGATCCTGAAGGACGGCATTGGACATCTGGGGGCTATAGGCGTTGGAACCTTTATCAACACACGATTCGACTCGGATCCTAAGAGATTTCGATTTTTTGCTACCTGCATTGGTAAGGCCGCGGACTTGATGTCCATCCTAACGTTGGCCAATCCGAAATATTTTCTCTTGTTGTCATCTATTGGAGGCACCTTTTCAAGAATCAGCACGACCACAGCCACCAGTTGTCGTGCAAAGATTTACGAGACTTTTGCGTCCAGCGACAACCTGGGGGACATCCTCCGATGCGCGACCGCGCAGTCCACGGGGGCCCAGCTTCTGGGCACCTGCATTGGCGTTTGCCTGAGTCCAGTGGTGGGCGACAATGTGCTTCGGCTTCTGGTCTGGAACTCCGTGCTGGCGGCCATATCGCTAGGCTTTTCGTACATGGCCTGCCTGCACGTGCGAATGCGGACGCTGAACCAGCAGCGGGCTGAGCTGCTCTTCCACGGGATCATCCGGCGCATGGCTAGGGAGAGCTCGGGCGCGCTTGCGGGCAGCTCGGGCTCGCTGGCTGTGGAGCTGCCGGACCCTGAGCACGTGAGAACGCAGGAGGTCTTCGTTTTGCCCTACGAGTCGAGGTTCGCCGGCCAGCCCCTGCAAGTGAACCCGCACTTTGGCAACCCGTTCTCCATCATCATGCCCAGAGGCGACTCCTTGAGCTCACACTACACGTTCGGGTTCGAGCTGAGACCAGGAGGCGAGGTCGCGAATCCGTTGACTGTTGCACTCTGGATCCATGAGACAGCACCCGCGAGGGAGGTCATCCGTGGTTTCTTTCATGGATGCCTCCTCCGGGAGCTGCTCGCTGATGTGGAGCCTGATTGCACCGCATTGTCCGCGTCATACATCCAGTCCGAGCTGTTGATGTCGGTCTGGTGGCCGCAGGTGGCAGAAGCAGCCGCCTCGCGAGGCTGGCGCTCGGACGTCGCTTTCCTGGATCGCAAGTCCAAGCGCATTGCTGTATCTTTTGAGGAGGCGGAGTGACGGCTGTTCTCTTGCTCAGCCACGCGCAGAGGGGGCAGGGGGAGGGGAAGGCTTTTTTGGAGGCACCCCTGCTTCTTAGAAGGCTCGGGCCTTGTCTAGAGGGGGTAGCGCCAGTGCCTTCTAAGAAGGAGTCTCTTTCTAAGAGCCTTTCCCCCATCCCTCCACTCCCTTGCGCGCGCGCCGCCGACTCTCGCAGTTGCAGGGCCCTTTGGCATTCGGGGGGCAGGCGTTTGTTGTCGTAGGTCGTAGGGACGTGTATTTTCCTGCGCTCGCTGTGTTTTCAGGGCGCTTCCCCTTGACGCTCGGCGTGCCGGAGACCCGCGCGCAATCCTCCCCCCGCCAGGGCACAACAGGGAATCGGATGGGCTCCACCACGTCATCTGCATCGTTTGTGCCGCCTCTGCAACGGTCTTCGTGGTAGCTTAGTCTTCGTCGTCGTCACGTGAGCTCAAGAACGTGTTTGTGAGTTTGTATTCGTTTGCGTCGGGTCGTTGATATCACCAGGACCTGCTGGATCGTGCCTCCTCGCCTTCTTAACCGACTCAGTTGCTAGTGTCATCGTGAATCTCGTCATCTCCACCGCCGTTGGCACCAGTCCCGATGTAGCCATCTTGGTGCCTCAGAAGGCCTTCTGAAGCGAATTGGGAAACGGGGAGAAACCCCACTATCACTGACACGCACTTGGTTGTCGAATACTTGTTTAAGCATTGTGACCTCATACGGGCTTTCGTTGACAATGCAGTCGAGTTTGATTAGTAGGTCGACCCTGCCGAATCAAGGGTACCCTTGTGTCCTTTGTTTCGCGACCCATGCCCTCTACATTCCCGTGGCAGTTTGGCTCTCGGAAGGGTCTTGTGTCAAATTCTAGACGCTTCGCGTATCCCCACCAGCCCGTCCAGAAATGAGTCCCAGGGGAGTGGAGGTTATGAGGGAAGCGGGGGAGCATGCAGAATAACAAAGGGCGGGGTGAGCCGCCATATACCCCAAGAGGGGGAGGATGTAGGAGGAGCCGTCGTCGTCGGAGTAGGAGGAAGAAGAGGAGGAGCAGGAGGAGGAGCAGGAGGAGGAGGAGGAGGAGGAATAGAAGGAGGAGGAGATGGAGGACTGCGAGGACGAGGAGGACGAGAAGGAGGAAAAGGAGAAGGAGGAGGAGGAGGAGGAGGAGGAGGGGGAGGGGGAGGAGGGAGGAGGAAGAAAAAGAGGAGGAGGAGGAGAGGAGGAGGACAATTGCGAACTTGGGGGCCTCTTGGGCCGTCCTTGGGGCCTCTTGGCGGTCCCGGGGGCCTCTTGCGTATCTCGGGGAGCCTCTTGTGGCCTCTTGGGGGTCTCTTGGGGGCCTCTTGGAGGCCTCTTGGGGGCCTCTTGGGGCCTCTTGGGGCCCTCTTGGGGCGCTTGGGGCGCCCTTGGGAGCCTTCGAGGCGCTCTTGGGGCCATCTTGGAGGAGATCTATCAAAGAAGGGGGGGTCCCCAATTAGCGCTGCCCCTCTAGAGTGCCTCGAGTCGCCTCTTGGGCCCCCCCAAGAGGCCAAAATCCTTCCAAAACCTAGGTAAAATCAATGTTTTTTGTTTTCTCGCCTTTTCGCTCTTGGACCCGTCTTGGGAGCCTCTTGGGCCTCTTGGGGGTCTCTTGGGAGCCTTTTGGAGGCCTCTTGGGCGCCTCTTGGGGCCTCTTGGGGCGCTCTCGGGGCGCTCTTGGGGCGCTCTTGGGAGCCTTCGGGGCGCTCTTGGGGCCATCTTGCAGGAGATCGATCAGAGAAGAGGGGGTCCCCAATTAGCGTTGCCCCTCTAGAGTGCCTCGAGTCGCCTCTTGGGCCCCCCAAGAGGCCAAAATCCTTCCAAAACCTAGATAAAATCAATGTTTTCTGTTTTCTCGCCTTTTCGCTCTTGGAGCCGTCTTGGGCCATCTTGGACTCTCTTGGGGCCTCTTGGAGGTCTCTTGGCAGCCTCTTGGAGGCTTCTTGGGGGCCTCTTGGGGTCTCTTGGGGCCCTCTTGAGGCGCTCTTGGGGCGCTCTTGGGAGCCTTCGGGGCGCTCTTTGGGCCATCTTGGAGGAGATCTATCAAAGAAGGGGGGGTTGCTTATTAGCCCCGCCCCTCCAGAGTGCCTCGAGTCGCCTCTTGGGCCCCCCCCAAGATGCCAAAATCCTTCCAAAACCTAGGTAAAATCAATGTTTTGTGTTTTCTCGCCTGTTCGCTCTTGGAGCTGTCTTGGGCCATCTTGGACGCTCTGACACCTCGCGACCGGCCCCGTCCAGGTCAGTGGGGAGGGGTAAGGGGAGGGGTAAACCCCTCCCCGAAGGGGAAGAAGGGGGTTGGCAGAGGAAACTCCCTAGAAGGGTCTTGTGTCAAACTCGATTGTTTTGGGCCACCCTGGGCCTGCTTGGAGGCCAAATCGGGGCCTCGCATTCCTTAGATCCTCGCTCTTGGGCCGCTCTTGCACCATCTTGGGGCCCTCTTGGAGCCCTCTTGGGGCGCTCCTGGGACGCTCTTGGGGGTCCTCGGAGCCCTCTTGGAGCCCCTTCTGGTCCCTGCTTGGACCAACTTGGAGCTGTCCTGGGCTATTTGCGGAGCCGTCCTGATGCCTCCACATGCAAATCGGCGGTGAAAAGGCGAGAGCGCCATGATCATGGACCTCACAGTCGGGGCCCTGAAGAAGGAACCCTTTTCGTTGGGGAGGGGCTCCGCGGTCCTTAAGTGTTTCACAGCTTGCCTCGGGCTTTCCTCATGTTGTCGACAGGAGATCGAAGGTTAACTTATGGAAAAAAAAAGGCCTCGTTCCTTATTTAGGGTTCCTTAGGTCAACGCCCCGACTGCACCGAGCTCGTGGGGCGGGCCGTCGCCGTCGTGTCGTCGTCGTCGTGAATGCATGCATGACCACGTGGGTTCGCCTACTCGAAGAGTTAAAAACGCCCCAACTGCATGGGTGCCTCTCGCGGTTGCCCATTGGACCATTCTGCGGCCTGTCGCTCCTCGCTTCCAGCTGTCGGGTCCCCAGGTGTTCCTGCTCGAGAGGCGCCCCTCCGTCCTGAGGCCCTCCGTCCGCGCCCCTCCGTCCCCGCCCCTCCTCCTCCTCCTCCTCCCCTCCTCGTCCCTCCTCCTACTCCTCCTCCTCCTACTCCTCCTCCCCCCCTCCCCCTTCCTCCTCCTCCTCCTACTCCTCTCCTCCTCCTCCTCCTCCTCGCCTCCCTCCTCCTCCTCCTCCTCCTCCTCCTCCTCCTCCTCCTCCTCCCTCTTTCTTGAAGGAAGTAGGCTGCTAAGCAAGTGGGTGTATGGCCGCTGGCATGGCGTGATGGGCCTGTGTATTCCACCACCACCATAAGTTGGAGGGGGGCAGGAGGTGAGAATGAGGATGAGGATGAGGAGGAGTGAGGAGGAGGAGGAGGAGGAGGAGGAGGAGGAGGAGGAGGAGGAGGAGGAGGAGGAGGAGAGGGAGGAGGGAGGAGGAGGAGGAGGAGGAGGAGGAAGAAGAGGTGGAGGAGGACCCCCTCCCCCCTCCAACTTATGGTGGTGGTGGTGGAAAACAGGCCCATCATGGCGGCTCAAGCTTCAATCAGAGGCAGGCGCATGATCGGATTCTTCCGGGGCGCCGCGATTCGCGCTGTGCCCTGGGCCCTCCAACAGATTTTGTGGTACGTCCAGAATTCTTTCCCGAACACGAGGACACGGGGACCTGCTTGCTCATCGCCGAAGGCATCGGCATCCACGGTTTCGTTAGCATCGTCTTCCTCCTCGGGGCCATCTTCGGTACCTTGACCGCCTGCTGCTGCGGACGCTTCGGAAACGGCGCGTGGTCAACTTGTCGCTGTCAAGTGGCGCCTGCGAGAGGGCTGGCAGGCACGGCTGATCATATGCCCGCGCACCCTCGAGGACTGCGGCCGCGATGGACCCTTGTTGGACCCTTGTTGTACCCTTGTTGGACCCTTGTTGGAGCCTTGTTGGATCCTTGTTGGACCTTGTTGGGCCCTTGTTGGACCCTTGTTGGACCCTTGTTGTACCCTTGTTGGACCCTTGTTGGACCCTTGTTGGATCCTTGTTGGGCCCTTGGAAGGAGAAGCTGTTCTTCTGCATGAGGCCCGACGGCGACGTGTGTGCGCATCGTCTGGACCTCGGGCCCCTGGTAGGGGTGCCGGCGCTCGACCCGACGGGCCAGCCCATCCCTGCCGCCGCGCTCGGCCGCCAGCTCCGACCTCAACATCGACTGTGCGGCTCGGACTGGTACGGCACGCCCCTGGAGTATACGCTTTTTTGGTTCGCGGCCCGCAAGAAGAAGTCCAAAGGGCGGCGTGACCGAGGCTGGGGCACAGCGACAGATAATTGGCGCGACATCGCGCAGAGTGCACCTGCAGATAGTTGGAAAAAGCCGCGCTTCAGCCCGCGGGTGCCCCTGGAGTGTACGCGAGCTCTTGAGTTTTGCCGCCCAGTGGAATCCTCAGCGAGGCGTCGCACATCGGCTCCGAGGGACGCAGGGCGTGCCAGTCCCAGCGAGCGGAGCCCTTCAAGCCACGCCAGCAGTTCCAGCTAGCCTCGAGGTTGGCATCGGCGAGCTGCCCGAGGTGAAAGCTGACACGTACTGCTGGGAGGTGTTCGCCATTACGGGGCCCACGGGCACGCGCACGGAGGGCTACGCGGTAATGGGCGGCTTCGTGGTGGCGCAGCTGGGCTCGGAGGTCTTCTTGCTCCGCTGCGCCGAGCGGGACGAGCTGAGGGGCGAGGGCGACCTCGACGCCAGGGTGCTCAGCATCAAGGAGACGGCCGACGGCGAGAGGCGCCGGGTGTTCGAGGACGCGGTGAATGCCTTGACGGAAACCGCGTGGCTTTGCTGGCCAGTCCTTGGCCCTCGCGTTGCCCGGTGGTGCATGCGCTTCATGGCGGATCAAGAATGTCATCCGAGATCTCGCCACACGAAGTGGAAGCACGAGACTGGGCTAGCGAGCCAGGGCCCTGCCGTCAGTGAGCACGAGCTGATCGTGCGCGTGTTCGACGACGCCATCTTTTTCGACCAGCTCAACGTGAGCGAGCTGGTCACTTTGGAGTACCTCGCACGGCGTGCGCAGCTCATTGAGCACGTGCACCGCGAGCGGGTCATGGGTTGCCCTGGCGCCGGTGACATCATCGAGGGCGACTGCCTCATGATGGGGGCCGTTGCGGCGCGCGGCCATCTGATGATCTGCCCTGAGCTACGGGACCACATCGCGGCCGAGTTGCACCGCGAGGCCAGCGTGATGAAGGAGCAGCAGAAGCTTCGCGAGGAGCGAGCCAGCGCTCGGCCAGGCGGCCGCGGCGGGTCCAGCGCGGGGGAGGACGAAGCCAGCCTGCGCAACAAGATCGAGCAGCAGGCGGCCGAGCTGAAGAAGCTGCAGGCTGCTCAGTCCCGCGGTGGTGGCGACAAGTCTGGCGGCGGCCCCCGCGGCCGCGGCCAGGGGTGACCTCGCGTGCCCCCCTTGGGCGCCCAGCCGGCCGGCC